AGATTCCTAACTGGTACACAATAAGCAGCATGGACAAAGAGCTGGACTTGGTGATAAGAAGACCTGAGATCAGATTCTGCTTCTGATGCTGATTAGCTGTGCAACCATGGAAAAATGGCTTCATCTTTCTGAGCCTCAGGCAACTCTGTGAGACAGTTAGTCATCATATAGCATCAAGAAGGAGATGTTGTGAGGGTTTAATCTGGGGCAACATCAGTGTTTTACCTTGCTCACGGTGAGAATGGTTTTATAACTGAGAGCAATAGAGAAGCTATCGGTAGGTTGGGGTCCGGTGCCCTGATAAAATCACAGGCAAAAAGTAAACTACATGCCAGGTTCTGTGCTAAGCACTTGGATATAAAGACAAATAATGAAATATTCTCCATTCTAATGGGTATCAAATGAATATTGATGGGCCATTTTTTGGATTCATCATATAGTGAACACATTTCTCCCTTTCTCTCTATCTCTGTGTCTCGCTCTCTTTTCTCCCATCTTTTTTTCTCTCACTTCTCTCTCTGACTCCCTTTTCTTTCATCCCTCTTTCACCTCTCGTTTCACTCTCTCCTTCTGTCCATCCCTTTTCTATCTCTTCTCTTCAGTCTCTCCCTCTCAATCTTCACTTGTCCCTCCATCTAAGCTATTCTCTCTCAATCTCTTTCTCATTCTCTCTTCGTGTACTTTTCTCTCATCTCTGTCTCTCTATATCTATCTCTCTGCTTTTCTCTCTCTTTGCATTTTGGTTTTTCCGTCTGTCACTTTGTCTCTTTCTCTTCCTCATTGTCTCTCCCTTTATTCCTCATTGCATTTCTCTGTTTCTCTGTCTCTCTGCCTCTGTCTCTGTCTCTGTCTCTCCCTCTCTCTCTCTCAGCACCATGAATGTTTGTTTGTATCTTTTCCTATAATGAAATCCCAATGGCACTTTTATGTCTCTGAGGAATGCAAAGTACTTTCCAAACATCTGGACTCATTTTTCCTCCTCAAAGGATGAGGGAGCAGGCAATGGGGTCAGAGTAAATTTGTCCAATGGGCACAAAGCTTCCACAAGTCCTTTCATTTTTTGTTGGTAGGTGGGTGACAGATCCATCATTTAATTGGAATAGGGAACTCCCAGTATGGAGATTCTTTTCACTAATTGCAGATTGGCAATGTATGTAACACTTATAGACTTAGAGAGACACTAAGAATGCTGAGGGGCAGCCAGTTGGGGCAATGGATAGGGCTCCAGGCCTTGATTCAGGAAAATCTAAGTTCAAATCTGGCCCCTGACATTTAATAGCTGTGTGACCTTGAGCAAGTCACTTTACCTTTATTTGCCTCATCTGTAAAATGGGGACATACTTGAGAAGGAAATAGCAAACCACTCTAGTATCATTGCTAAGAAATTCATGAAAGAGTTGGACATGACTGAACAAATGAATACCAAAAACACTGAAGGCTTAGGTGACCCACTGACGATCACTTAGACCAAATAGTCATTCAGGTAAGTGATGCAGAGACTGCACTTGAGCCTAGATCTCCTTGCCTCCCATCCCAGCATCCCCCGCATCCCCCATAGCCTCTCAATTGGGCATTCATAAGCTTTGTCATTTTGAATTTTTTTGAGTTGCATCAAGGAGAATTATCTTCCCCTCTCTGTCATGTGAGAAGAAAGGCTTCAAATTGGGACACATGTGGGAATATCTTGGGAAGCCAGTGGAATCCCACTACAATCCAAAGACTCCATTAAGGGAAATACGATAAAGCAGGAAAAAAAAAAAAAAACAACAACTGAGTGTTCAATCAGAAGCCCCAGATTCAAATCCTGGCGCTGCTGTTTGTGAGTTAGGAACCTTATGAGAGAGTCATATAAAGTCTCAGAACATCAATTTCCACATTTTCACACTGGGCACACAGGTCTATCACTATCTACCTCACTGAGTTGTTCTGAGGAAGGCATTGGAAAATGCTCTTGAAATTTTCTTTGTTGTTGTTGTGGTTCTGAGCTATATGGGGACTGGCTTTGCTCTGCTTGGCCTCAAGGAGCACAATAGGAGCAATGAGTATAAATCGTAAAGATGAGTTCTGGGCTTGAGATGGGGGGGGGGAGTTCTAGAGCTGTAGGAAAGTGGAATGAGTGGCTTTAAGAAGTATGGGGGTCTGGAATTCTTTAAGGAGTGATGGGTCTCCACTTGTCAGGTATATTATACAAACAATGCCTCTTCAGGTGAAGGAAATTTCTGGCATGGCCAGTCTCTTTTCTGGTGCACGTAGTGGCTAATTTCTAGTCATCAAGAGTTGCTGGAGCACTGAGTGAAGTGCTTTGACCTCAATCACACAGCCAGCATGTGCCAAGGGAGACCAAGGATCGAGGTGTTTCTGATTAGATGGTCTCTGGTCTGAGGTCAGTCAATCCACAAGCTTTTATAAAGCACCAGGCACTGCGCTGGTGTGGCCAGCTAGGTGGTGCAGTGGATAGAGCAGTGGATCTGGAGTTAGAAAGATCTGAGTTCAAATCTAACCTGACATTTACTAGCTGTATGATCCTGAAGAATTCACTTAACCCTGTTTGCCTCAGTTTCCTCATCTGTAAAATGATCTGGAGAAGGAAATAGTAAACCACTCCAGTATATTTGCCAAGAAAACCCCAAATGGGATCACAAAAATTCAGACATGACTGAACAACAACATACAAAGAGAAAGAATAAAAATGTCACCACCTTCAAAGAACTTGTGTTCCAAAGAGGGAGACCACATGAATATAAATAAATCCGCAACTGATACACACATGATATATACAGAGTAAATGGGAGATAAACTCAGGAAGACCCTAACAGCTGAGGTGGGGCCAAGGAAAGGGCTCCTACAGAAGACCCAATGCAATGTGAGTCTTGAAGGAAATCAAGGATTCTAAGTGGTTGAGTTGAGGAGACAGCCTGTGCACACATATGGAGTTAGCAGATAACAGGTCATGCGTGAGGAATACCATGTAGGCATGGTATTGGGAGATGTTGGGAGTTCATGTAGATGTGGTGACTCTTAGTGTCATAGAAAGAAACTTGGAGGTCATAGAAAAAAAAACCTTTTATTTGGCAGGAAACTCTTCCTCGGAGGCATGACTTGGTGGGGATCACAGAGCTAATTAGGGGCAGAGCCAGGATTCAAACCCAGGACTTCCATTACCACTCTTTCCACTATCTACAATGAGTGTCTCCTTCATTTCTCTTGGATATATTCACATTTTAGCATTTTAGACCTCCTTACTCATGAACACACACACACACACACACATCTTTCACTGAGATAGCCATTCCAAGAGTCAGAATGGGACAGTGGAAAGAGAGCCTTCTTGGAGTCAAGAAGATCTAGTCTCAGCGCCTCCAGGCAACTCTGTATGACTATGAGTGCAAAAGAAGCCACCACCTGCAGTGGTGGAAGGAGTTTCCTCATTGGGGAAGTTCCTACCCCAGTGAAATCTCAGCTCCAGTTCCTACCCTTCGAAAGATATCTAGAGGATGCTGAAACACACATAGGTGACCAGAACACTTTTGCATCCCACCTTGAATTTTTCAAATTTGTGACAGGAGGTCAATTATCAGGTTTGTATTAATATTGAAATTACACTAAATGATGCCTCAACATTTTATAAACATGAAATACTTTAATCAGATCAGTCCCAAGATCTAGAGGGACATTAAAAGTGATCCAATTTTTCATCACTTTTCAGAAGAAGAAATGGGTATGAAGTGATATGACTTCTTCAAGGTCACACAGTAAGTATCAAAATTGGATTTGAACTTTGAACTTGGGGGGGTGTTCGACTTGATTACTATGAGTTCCCTTCCAACTCTAGGCCTATGATTCCAAATCTAGGGAAGATTTAATTTTCTACCATACACATTGCCTTCTATCTCTCTAAAAAGTCTCATCCCCCCACTTTCCCCTGTGATTTCTAATTTGTCCAGTTGTATATCAGTAATGATAAAAGAGGGCTCCTTTTGGAAGGGATGGGTAATAAGGAATTAATATCTCTGAGGAAACAGAGGCTAAATGAGTTGCTCATCAGCAAAGAACTATTAAGTGTCAGTACCAAGGGTTGAACCCAGATCTCAACTAACTTAAAGTTTACTGTTCTAGCCCCTGAAACCACAGATGTCTGCCCTCTAAAGCAACATGACATCTGTCAGCAGCACAACAATCTTCCTGGCCCAAGGGCTGACCAACCCAAGCATAACGAGGTAGACTTGTCCTGAACACAGACATACTGCATAAGACATTAAGTAGATTGGAGACACCCTCACTGGAGGTCTTCAGGCAGAGGCTGAATGGATGACCACTTGCCCGGGATACTATAGTGGAGATGTTTGGAGGGTCCTCAGTTAAGCTGAGATGCTGTGATTGAACCTTTGACTTGATCTTAGAAAGTCCCAGCTCCTTACTCCCTGGAGGACTTCAGACCTGGCAGTGGGATCACTTCTTGAGAGTGTTACAGACGGATTCTCAGTCAGGTACGGCTTAGACTAGATGGCCTGAGTCTCCCACCAAAGTCCTAGGACCTAGCCACTCTGGTTTAGCCCTCAGTGGCATGGTGCCTTCCTCCTTGACGGCCAGCTTGATATGTTGCTTGATGAACATTTGTTGGGTAGCTTTTAGAGGGAACTCTTTCAGCTCCTAACTTGACCTTTTCCCAACTCTGATAATACTATGATTCATGACTGCCTGAATCAATGTCTTTTGACTTTAAAAAGCAGGTGCTATAAACACCAAGGTAGTGTGATATAGTGAATAGGGCACCAGATTCAAATTCCGCCTCAGACACTCACTACCTGTGTGACCTTGGGGAAGTTTCTTCACCTCTGTGCCTCAATTTCCACATTTGTAAAATAAAGGGTTAGACTTAATCTCTAAAGCCCCCTTCAAGCTCTTGATGTAGATCCTAGGAAAAGGAGAAAAAGATTGTGGGAGGAGAAAAATGCTCCCCAGACACTCCCAAGGGTCACAAACCCTAATAATGCGCTTACCTGGTACTTGAACAAGGATCCCGACTGTAGCCAGCAGTAGTCCGGGGCGCATACTGCCGAGATGCCCAGTTCAAACTGCTTTCCTTGGCTCTGTTTGGTTTGGCTTGGCTCAGCTCAGCTCAGCTCAGCTCCCCAGGGCACGGGTAGGGCTGCTCCCATGGGGCTCCCGCCTGAGAGAGAAGAGAAGCTCTGCCTCTGCCTGCTCCTGCCCCTACGTGAGGAAGTGTTTATTCAAGGTGTTGCACAACCTTCCAGCTGGGCCCTGGCACAGAGAAACCAGAGTGGTTCTGCATGCAGACGGCCTCATGGCTCACTGCTTCTCCAATTACTGGTCCCTACTTTTTGTCTTCCTTTTGAAATGGGAGAGTGTCAGACAATGTAGGGGAGGCTGCCAGCATTTGGGAAGGGACAAGTAGAGAAGGGAAGGGAAGGGGGAAAAAAAGGAGAGGGGAAGGAAAGAGAGAAGTGAAGGGAAAGGAAAGGGAAGAGGAAAAAGAAAGAGGGAAAGGAGGGAAAAGGAAGGGAAGTGAAGGCATGAATTTTCAGAGAGAGCATTTATACCTCAGAAATTGGCAAGCACTAAAATTTATGGATTAATTTATTGATTTATCCTCTGGCTGTCCCCCATGCCTAGAATGCTTTCTCTCCTTATCTCCACCTAGTGGTTTCCCTGGCTTCCTTCAAGTCTCAGGTAAAATGCCATCTGCTAAAGAATGTCTTTCCTGATACCCTTAAGGCTGATATCTTCCCTTTGGGGACTATTTCCTTTTTATCCTGTCAATAGCTTGTTTATACATAGTTCTTTGACTGTTGTCTTCCTCATTAGATTGTGATCTCCTCAAGGGCAGGGACCATTTTATGCCTTTGTTGCATCCCCACTGTTTAGCACAGCGTCTGGAACATAGTAGGCATTTAATAAATGTTTTTTGACTGACTGCTACTTAAGAAAGTGATGGAATGAATATCAATAAACTTAAAAGTGTGACATGTATTTTTTTTGAGATTTTGTTGTTAAATATTTATCAGCACTGTTTGAAGCCAGCACCCAGCTGAGACTAAATACAACACAAGTCATGTGCCCCATGGGGTTTTGAGGAATTACAGGGCTAAAGCTAAAAGAGCTATCAAGGTCATGGAGCCATAGGACCACATATGTATACATTTATGAATGGGTATGAGAGATAACATGGTAAAACATGTTTTTGTTGTTATTGTTGTTCAGTTTTTTCAAACATGTCTAACTCTTTGTGACCCCATATGGGGTTTTCTTGGCAAAGATACTGGAGTGGTTTACCATTTCCTTCTCCAGCTCATTTTGCAAATGAGGAAACTGAGACAAATAGTTTAACTGATTTGCTTAGGGTCACACAGCTAATAAGTGTCTGAGGCCAAGATTTGAACTTAGGTCTTCCTGACTCCAGGCCTTGCACTCTATCCAGTCTGCCACCTAACTGCCCCTTTTTGGAGGATATTAATTTGTCATTGCTGAAGATGATGTGTTGGGGAGGAAAAAATAGAGTAAATTCCAAATTCTTATGCTAAGGATAGATCCCAGCATTGACTATATGCTCCAGAATTTTTCATTAACTTTTTTTTTAAATTCTCCAACCTTCCCAGGCCCAGAGAGTGCTTTCCCATGAGGGAGTAATCGAAGGAGAAGCTGGCCAGACCCGGTGTCATTAAGGATCAAGGAATGGGAGCAGTTTGTCCATTCATTGAGTTACAAGATTCATTATACAATTGGAGTATGGAAAGAATTTGGGACTTTGGTCAGCTAATCCAATTGGCCCAGAGACCATATCCACCTCCCTACCCCGAAGAAAAGAAATCTTATTGTACCTGTTCATGACATGTATAACTTAATTAAAAGGATCTCTTGGATTCAGCTAATGCCACCACTCTGAGGTGTTCGGAATTCTTTATATATACAGAGCATGTTATTCTAACAACATCTCTCTGAAATATGGTGGGGCAGGGCTGGGGAGGGAGGGAGTTTCAGTGATCCTCTCCATTAATCAGTCAGTCAAGAAGCATGTATTAAGCTCCTACTATGTGCTTGGCACTGTGATCCAACAAAAGGGAAAAGATAGCTCTTACTCTCAACAAATGTATGTGTAAGTAAGCTACCTATGGAATAAAGTGGAAATAAGAGGGGGCATTATCAATAAGAGGGAACAGAGAAGTCTCCCTATCCAAGGTGAGATTGTAGGTGTGACTTGAAGGAAACCAAGGAAGCTGTGTACAGAGAGAGATTTCCAGGAATGGGAGACATCTAGTGAAAATGTCCAGTGTGTGGAGAGGGAGTGTCCTATTCTAGGAACAGTAATGGGGCCAGCGTCTCTGGGCTCCATATTATGTGTAGGGGAATGAGGAGAAGGAGTATGGTAAGGTAGGAAGGAGCAAGGTTATAAAGGACTTTCAAAGACAAACAGAGGGTTTGCTTTGTTCCTGGAAGTTCTGGGAGACACTGGAGTTTATCGATTGGGCAGGAATGAGGTTCTGGGAGACATAGCCTAACCTACATTTTAAAATGATCCCTTTGACAGCTGAGTAGAGATGGACTGGAGCAGCCAGAGGCTTGAGGTGGGGAGGCCAATCAGCAGGCTATTGCAGTAAGCTAGGCCTGAGATAAGGAGGCTAATACCAGGGCTGTGCCTGGGTCAGTGATTTCGCTGAAAAAATATTCAAGGGGGCAGCTAGCTGGCATAGTGGATACAGCACTGTCCCTGGAGTCAGGAGGACCTGAGTTCAAATCTGGCCTCAGACACATAATACTTCGTAGCTGTGTGATTCTGGGCAAGTCAGTTAACCCCAATTGCCTCACTAAAAAACAAAAAATCAAAAAAAAAAGAGAAAAGAAAACATATTCAAGAAGAAAGTTAATGAGAATATTTTTAAAATCATCATCACTATATAATAGCTTTGAAATAGTTTTAAAATAGCTTTAAAGGTTATTATCTTAATTTTACAGAAAAATAAATTGTTCATTACAAAGGTGAAGAAGAAGAATATTTATCTAGTGCTCTAAGGTTTGCAAAGCACTTTATAAAAGTCATTTCAATTTATCCTTACAACAATCCTGGTGCTACTGTTATTCCCATTTTACAGATGAGGAAACTGAGGCGGACAACAGTCAAATGACTGTCCCAGGGTCACACAGCTAATACCTGTTTGAAGCTGGATTTGAAATCAAGGCTTCCTGCCTCCAATTTTAACACTCTTTCCATCGTGCTGTCTAGATGCTTCAGTGAAGTAGCTCAGCCAATATCAGTAGCAAGTGTCAGATGTGAGATTCAAATCCAAGTCTTCCCTGACTCCAAATTCAAGACCACACTGCACCAATTTGCTTTCCAGTAGTAATAAAGTCATGGCTTCAAATTTCTATAGGGAAATGTACACAAGATCAATGAATAAATCAATCCACAAACATTTATTAAGCACCTTATATGCCAAATGTTGGCAGAAGATACCCTGCCTTCAGGTGGCTTATGCTCTAATGCGGAAGATGACATGTACATATATGAGTATATGTGGAGGGGCATTGTCTATCAAGCAGATATTTTCCTACAAGAAAATCCAGAAACCAGAGTGGACAACATGGTGAAGAACAGATTTTGTTTTCTTCCCAATCCCACATCCATTATAGCCTTCCCTGCTACTCATTTTCCATTTCCTGAAGAGTTATCATTTAAGTCCTATTTATTTAATGCTGTTTTAGCCCTTCCAAATGTCCTTGAGGGCAAGGACTATTTCTGCATTCCTTTGTATTCTTAGAGCTTAGCACAGTACCTGGAACCTAGAAAACCAATTAATAAATTCTTGTTGAAAGGACTTCTGTGAGACAGGATGGCAGAGAAGCAGAAAGTCACTGTCACTCTCCCTTATTGACCTGGGGTGGGGGAGACAGAAAATAGCACATCAGGAAAAACCCAGGAAAAGAGGAGCAAGTGGAAAGATGGAGTGAAGCAATCTTTTTACCCAGGAAACTTGGAGGATCACTAAAAAAAGTTGATCTCACTCAAGGAAAGGGGGAACACACTCCAGGACAGGAAGAATCCTAGAAAGCTAGCAAAAAGCCCCACCACAGCAAACTAGTGAGAGATCCTGAGCCCCAAAAGAGTGGAGCAGGAAAACACCAACATCAGGACCCCCTGTGTGCCCTAGAATAGCCAGGGGAACCTGCAGTATCCAGCTCAGAGAACTATCATATGTGCCAGCGCAGCCCTGGGCAGGCAGGAACCCCCAGCAGTGGCCTTCCCAGTGCTTCAGCACACACCAGAGTGGGTGGGCATCTTCCAATGACCACACAGCTATGTGCTTCAGTGTAGCACTGGGGAAACGCAGAAAAACATCACCTGACCTCAGCACACACAAGATACCACCACTAGAACCACAGCTCAGCACCAGGTGAGCTTCCAGACTCCTACAGCCTCCAGCATGTAACACCTGAAACCCCAGCACACAAAGCCAGTGACCAGATCCCTGGGCCCCAGCACAAGAAGCTTGGGACAGTACACCCTATGCCCCAGAAGCAAAGCTTATCTGCAAAAGCCAGGAAACAGGCAAACAAGATGAACAAGAAGCAAAAAGAACACTGACCACAGACTGTTTCTGTGGGGCAGGGAAGATCAAAACACAAACTCAGCAGAGGACAACATTGTATCAAGGAGGAATATGAGCTGGTCTCAAGCCGAAAAACCCTTTTTGGGAAAGCTCAAGAAGGATTTTAAAAGTCATGCAAAAGAGATAGAAGAAAAATTGGGGAAAGAAATGAGAGGTATGCAAGAGAGTTAATAGCTTGGAAAAAGGAGGATAAAAACTTAATGTAAAAAAAAATTGTTTAAAAAATACAATTGGGCAAATGGAGAAAAAAATCCACTGAAGAAAAGAACTCCTTAAAAAGCAGGACTGGCCAAATTAAAAGGAGGTACTAAAGCTAACTGAAAAAAAGCAACAATTCCTTAAAAATTGGAATTGAGCAAGTGGAAGCTAATGACTCTAGGAAACAGCAAGAATCACTCAAACAAAATCAAAAGAATGAAAAAAATAGAAGAAAATGTAAAATACCTCATTGGGAAAACAGTTGATCTGAAAAATAGATCCAGGAGGGATAATTTAGGAATTAT